GGCACCGTCTTGTTGAAACCACATGTCAGGCATGTCAAATTCTTCCATTTTGGGCGACAAAAAGTCGTCAATCATCACACGGTAGCGCTCGCCATTCTCAGTAACGTTCCGGCCATTGTCGTCTCTGAAGAAGTACGGCCACCGACCCATAATCCACACCAAACAGTGACTTTTCGGGATGCATTGGTAGCTCTTGCAATGCTTGTGGCTGGTCTTCACTCCATATGCGGCAATTTTGCTTTAACGTATCCATTCAATCAGAAATGAGCCTCGTCGCTGAACACAATATTTCGATAAAAATGTGGATTTTCCTCCAACTTTGCCAGCACCCATCACCAAATGTTAGACTTGTGGGAGGTCGTGTGGCTTCAATTCTTGCACCAGCTGTATCTTATAAGGTTTTACACCCAAATCCTTTCGCAAAATTTTCCACGTAGTGAAGTAACAGAGGCCCAATTGCTGTGAACGGCGGCGAATCGACATTTCACGGTTATCACGAACACTGGCGGATATAGCCGCAATATTTTCTTCAGTCCTCACTCTACGTATGCGTGTTGGTGGTTGGTGGGAAACTGGGTTCGAAATTTAGTTACTAGCATCCGAATAGCTCCCTCAGTAGGCCGACGAAACTGCCCATAAATTGGAACAAGTGCACGATGCACTTTCTTCACCGAGCATCAACTTTGATAATAAAATTCAATAATTTGCAAGCGGTGTTCATTCGTAAGTTGATTCATGGTTAAATTATAGACCAAACTGAACAAGTTTGACAATGACACAAACACGATTCACGCGTGATTTGTCAAAAACAGTGTTGCCAAAAAGATACCAGCAAAAAAATCACTCATTAGTATCATCATAAGTGTTTAGTGAAATGTACTTAAGTAAGTTTTTGGTTTTCTACTACTCCATCTTGATACAAAAAAAGGGGATGAGGGAATCTTCCAAAGAAAGGAAGGAAGTAATCAATTTGAAAATAAGTAATTCTATACATGGATGTGTAGATCATGCAAAGAAGTAACTTTCAAGACACAAACTGGAAGAAAGTCCTCCTGAAACAGCTACTTTCATATAAACATTGANCTCTAAAATATTGTGCTCTTGAGAATGTATAAGGAGAAAAAAAGCTGATGAAGAGGCTGCAGTAAAAACGGAAGAAAGGTTTGAAAACCTGAAGAAGGATTTATCTGAAAGAGACCAACAAATTGAGAAATTAGAGATGGAAAATGAAATGAGGATGAATGGCTTAATGGAAGATTTGAAAAGACTGAAGACCGAGAATAAGGATCAGAAAAATTACATTAGTAGAATGAAAAGAGCATCCATGGACTTTCAAAATGAAGCTATCATTGCAGAAGAGGACAACGTAATAAAAATTAAAGAGCTCAATTGTCAAGTTGAGTATCTCAATAAAATTAACTACGAGTTAGAACTAAAAAACATTGATCTTCGCGAAAAACTAGAGGAACTAACAGCTCATATAGCCACACTTCAAGATGAACTATCTGAAATGATTGCTACTAAAAATAATATGCTGATTTCAAATTGAAACACTAACCATGGAAAATGAAATACATACTGATGAAATAAAAACACTGAGAAATGAGAAACTCGATCTAATAACAAAGCTGAACAGTGAGCTGAGATCGAAAACCTTTAATCAAAATAGACATGAATCGAGCATTCTAACGTCTAACTGTCCAATTAGAACGTCTTACCAAAACAAAGTACAGCCTACTATCCATAATCAAATTAACGGGAGAGGCAAGATAAATAGTAGCAGGACACTATGGAAGGAATTTAGCAGGAGTCATGCAAAGAAATACCGACGATAGATATATAACTCAATCACTCATCAAGTCTGGAGCTAATGATGCAGCTTTAATCAATACCGCCATTAGCAACTCTACAAATTTTAATGAGAGAGACATTGTAATATTATGGCCCAGTAAATTATCTAAAAATCTCAAAGAAACCTTTCTAACTAAAGTAACCCAACATGCAGAATGGATGGAATGAACGCGTTTAAAATAATAACTTAGCAGTATTTAAAGCCTTTCATGAAGCACATTTACATAGGCACTTACTCGACTGCAATAACACTTTGCTTAAATCAAATTTCTACTCAGGACGTAATTTAAGCCTCCTTAATAACGCAGGGATTTTCTTCCTATCCAAAGCTATTATTTCCCACGTGAAATCACTGCTGAAATTAGAAATTCAGAAACACCTACTACTTTAAGTACCAGTAGTCATAACAAACACGAACATAAATGTACAAATTCACTCGAAAGAAGTCCAAATGAAGTTGACGCATATAAATATACTAATGATACCGAAAGAAATCCAATTGAAGTTGATGGGGCTGTGGCTTCTGGAATCGTGCCACAAACAAATGCAGCCAGCACGACTGAAGATCAAAATCTCTCTTTATATGAGGAACTGTCACATCTAGAAAGTAATAATCGAAATTTTGATTTGACTTATTGTTTTTATGTGTGATTTGTTAGTACGGAAAAGAAGCGAAAAATCGACAGTAAATGCAGAAAGTTCCAAGAAAAATGGAACTTTCAGTACTTTGTGATTGAGTCCAGTAATAAAGCGCTATGTTTAATTTGTAATGAAACCATAGCTGTTCTCAAAGACTATAACATAAAACGACACTATAAATCGAAACATCTTCAAAGTTACTACAAGTATACAGGAAGTTTGCGGAAGGAAAAAATTGAAGCTTTGAAACGCGGACTCAAATCGCAGCAATCTTTGTTTACCAAAGCGAATACTGAACAAGAGTCTGCAACTCGCGCCAGCTTTCGTGTGGCTCTTGAAATCGGAAAACGTGGCAAACCATTCACCGATGGAGAAATGATAAAAGAATGCTTGATTGCAGTAGCCGAAGAAATATGCCCCGAAAAGGTA